TTTTGCAACCAAAGTTCAACCATAATTTAATTGGTAAGTCTAAGGTGTACCTATGTGTAACCTGGATATCCCGCAAAGTATTTGAAACAGCTTTCTGCATATCGGGTATTCTCCGAATCATTGCATCCTGCTCTGGCAGATGGTGGATGACCTAAAGGTTTGTAGAAATTAGCAATAACTGTAAATAGTAGTGACACAAAATCAGTTACCATGATAATAAGGATGGGTACTAGTAAGTGAGTCTGTAACTTCATAATTAGAAATCCAGAAATTTTATAGCATCCCTGCAGCTTACTGCTTTATACATTTTTCTTGTTACTAGCTATGAACATATAAGAGACTGGTACTGAATCAATATTAAATTCCAGCAAAAGTAGAAAAGGAAGCAAGTTCTGAGACCTAGTGACAAATGTACGACTTCACGAACAATTAACAATGCCCAGTTAACATCTAAGGTCAATAACAGCATATCCAAAATATAGCAATAGGATGAGGCCAGATAAGAAAGTGCTATATAACATCAAAGGTCATATGGCATTATGGGAAAATCTAGTAGGGAAAAGGTTTAGGAATGAGTTAATGATTAGGGTAAGTTACAGTTACTAGAGGGTAGTATGGTAGTGAAAAGGGTAGAAAGGGGGAGCTGATGAGGTTTAAGGTAAAGGTTGTTAGAAGGGGAAGGCGTTAAAGGAGTATGGAGCCTTATGATAAAGTATTATGGCGAAAATGGCAAAAATCAGTTAACAATTACAACAAGTGGACAGAACAAGGGGATAAACAAAAAATAAAGGAAAGAAGGAGAAGAAAAGACCAGGCAACATAGCTGAGGCGAGGGCAGAGGTCCAAGGCAGAGGTGATCCCCAACACAACAACAATGAGCAAGGGATTGGGGGGTATATGTTTATATCATTCACTCCTTAGAAGTAATATTATCATTACAACTACTTGCTTCCATTCCTCAAATGAATACATACAGGCTCTGCATTCAAAAGGAAAAAAAAAGAAACACTAAAACAAAAAGTGCAAAAATTCCATCATTTTGAATAAAGCTCCAGTGACCATTAACCACATCCCTAAATCCAATCTGAAAAAGATACACCCAAAAGAATGATTAAAAAAGGTCCCAATAAAACATTGGTTGTGACTGTACCTTCAGCCATTGGTTGCGGACTTCGGAAGTGCTGAGGACCAGACTCCCTGACAAGCTAATTCCTGTTTCATTTCCAAAGTGTATTGCTCGTCCTGTTACATTGGAGTAAAATAACGCTGTATAGTATTCTGTACTATATATACACATGAAAACAATTTTAAAAAGCATTAATCTTCTTTCTTAATAGCAAAACAAGCAAAGCCTCCATAAAAAGCAGATGATCTGGTTTGACATCATAAACTCCTTTGCAAAGGCTAAGATGGTGACTTCTTTCCAAGGACCCGTTTCGCAGGTAGAGCCTTACTCTGGAGTGAGAGGCAGGACTCAAACTAACATCTTTAGAAACCCTGGCTACCACAGTACCACAACAGCCACAGACTCTCTATAAATTACTAAGATGAATATAATACTTTGCACTAAAAAAATAATAACTAAATTCAGAACAAACCTTCTAAAATTGCTTTAATCTCCTGATGATGTGCAATGAGTGCCATCAGACCTTGCATGCAGCCTCTCAAGTGGGTTGTTCCGAGGCCCCGTTCCCACGTCAGCTCTGTGAGTTTGAGATCGTCGATAAGTGACTGTCGGAGCCTCACGATATCTTGACGAATGGGTTTGCTGACGGAAAGTCTTCTCTCTGCTTCTCCCATATTTTTGATGAGCCATGAGCTGTAATGAATAAACTTTTGAAGCAGTGGTTTTTAATAATAATAACAGAGAGTTTATAAATTATAGATGTCTGTGAATCTCCCTTTTTTCATGAACACTATAAATTTGTTTTAATCATAATCAATATGCAATTTTTCTTTTCCCTACTATATGCACATACAAACATACAAATATATACATGCAATAAAATCCAGCTACATCAACATCAAAGAAAACACAAGAAGAAAAATACCCACTACAAATTCTCCCTTGTCCTTGCTGTGTATTCCTCTTCATAGGGATTGACTGTCCCCGTTGCATCGTAAAACGAGTGGTGCCACTTGATTTCCCGATCCGGTTTGCCCGTTTTCTCTGGCAAGCTGTCGACATACTTTGTTGGCAGATCAAACTCACTCAAAATATCGTGGACTGTCGCTCTGGCTGTTGACTTGTTGAGTTGGACAGCTACGGTGTGTAAAATACCTGGTTTTTAAGAAAAATATAAACATTAATTCCATGAGTTTTTGTGTGTGTGTGTGTGTGTGTGTGTGTGTGTGTGTGTGTGTGTGTGTGTGTGTGTGTGTGTGTGTGTGAGTGAGTGAGTGAGTGAGTGAGTGAGTGAGTGAGTGAATGAGTGAGTGAGTGAATGAGTGAGTGAGTGAGTGAGTGAGTGAATGAGTGAGTGAGTGAATGAGTGAATAA